CATACATAAATAATTGAATTGTAATGTTTCTAGAGTAATTGAATAGCTCCCAAAATAGAAAGTGTACGTGCATGAACTTGAAGAATTAATTGATTGAATTATAATATGATATATATAAATTAATGTTAATTATTATCATACACGTAAATAAATAATTGAATTGTATAAAAAGTTCATTTCATGTAAACAGATTTTTAACTATTTTTTATATTATTTGATTTTCAAATTTAATTTTTACAACGTTTATAAATATTTCAAAGTAACGTCAACGCACGTTTAGCCGTCACTCATACGCGTGTGTGTATGCGTTTGTGCACAACCGTAAATAAAACGTTGATCAACCCCAAGTTTTACTCTAAAAAAATAAGGTTATTTCGGTCTCGATCATTATAAATAAATTTGATCGAATGGTAAATCAGTTCTCATTGGAGTGCGCTTAGAACTCCATGTTCTGACTCCAAAACCTTCCTGCAAACCACCTCAATTCCGATCCTCCCATGGCGTATAATCCTAATAACAACGCTACGATGGACCCGCAGACGGCAGCTGAGAAGGCTGTGTCGGTGATCGGGTTCGGGTACGATCTGACGTCGGATATCCGTTTATCGGCTTGCAAAGCGGGTCCAAATGGATCGGGTCTGATCGAGATGGTCCAAACCCAAATAAAGGACCTGGTGGTGCCAGGCGGCGTGGTTGTCCCCGGCGTATCGGCCTCTATCAAGTGCGATAAAGGTGAACGCACCAGGTTTCGCTCCGATGCTCTCTCCTTCAGTCAGGTTATTCATATTTCATTCCTTTCTTTTTTATTTTTGGAATGTCAACGTAGAAGTTTCATTTTGTGTTTTGTTTCAATTGCAAATGTTGATTTGAGCTGGAAAGCGTCAATTAATTTGCATAGCAAATTAGCAATAACTACGCTGATATAATGAAAATATTTATAATAATTTCCTGTTGTGTTTGCTAATTTTGAAATTTGAATGTGGAAAGCTTCAAAACTTAACTGAATTCTCACTCGTGCCTTTTTAAAGAGCATATTCTATTATTTGGATAGTTTCTATAAATTTGGAGAGTTAAAATTTTGAAATACTCCAAGAACCTCTTTATATTTAACATTTAATTTTACTATTTCCAAAAAATATTTATTATTTTTCTTTATCTTTTATTTTTAAATTATTTTATTACATTAAAAATTGAAACACAGTTGCTCTCTGAATTAAAATATTAATTTAAAGATTCTTTTAAAGCATGATTTTAAATGTTAGACTTTTTTAAAATAAAGAGTATTTTTATGAATATTGACCTTCAGATTATGATAAAGCAATGTTGACTTTTTAAAATAAGAGTATTTTTATGAATATTGACCTTCATTATGATTTTAAATGTTGAACTATGTTTCATATGCCATGATTTTAAATATTGACTTTTTAAAATAAAGAATACGGGTTGTAATTTAAATGTCAATACTCATGTTTAAAGGTCAATATTCATAAAAATTAATTATCATCTCCGGATGGAAAATTACAACCCGTATTCTTCAATGCGGTGGAAAGTAAATGGCACAAACCAGTAATTTTATGAATATTGACCTTCAGATTATGGCATATGAAACATAGTTCTCTGATGAGTTGTGTAGCTAAAGGAAAAGTCCCAAGTCCCACTTTTCCGTTTACCTCCACTACCAAATTCGTGAATATTTCTTTTTTTCCCTTTGATAGAAAATCCATCTGATTGGTTAAGGGTGCTACTACAGCTTAGTTTTTCAACTTCATTTTGGTCAGAAAGAGGTTTTTTTTTTTTTACCGGGGGTGGGGTGGGGGGTTTCAGAACTACTAACTTGGTTGCTGTATTCAAAATTGGAAGTCGACTTACTAACTCTGCATTACAGTATTGGAGTTGTTGGACAGTGCTGATAATATCTTATCCATAATGACCTACTTTCTTTTTCTTGATATTTCTTAAATGTTAATCCTTTTTCATTGAATCCAGCACTAGATCTTTTTCTTTGACATGTTTGTTGACATCTATATGACTTGTTTTTGGGATAACCTTGAATGGCTGTCTGATTGGCAATTCTCTTCCATTCCAGGAGACCATCTTTCAGAATGTAATTCTAACAGAGCATTGCAATTTTCACAAGTTAAACACACACACAATCTCACATACTAGTGATATCTGATCTAAAAACATATTGTTGAAATGTATTAGTCAGTTAATAATTGGGCTGGTAATTGATCCTCGAAGTTTCATACACTGGGATAGTATCGAGATTTAATTAAAACACTCCTACTTTCCTCTATTAGAAACAAATCAATTTCCTGAAGGAAACATTGCAATTGTGCATGGGTAGCAAGAGAGGATGAATTTCAGGCTAATATAATGGACTAAAATGAAATCTTTAACTCTGGCAGTCAAATACCTCTCTTAAATAAGAATAAAAGAGAAATGTTCAACTCCAGTCCTGTGCCTGGTTAGTAGGGAGCCTTGATTCTGAAACGTCACATTGCAAGCATTTATATTGCTTGATTTGTTGAGTTGGATTCTAACCTTTACAGCATGGAACCTTTACTTTTGTCTAATGACTTCTCTTTTATTTGAATATATGCAGATGTCAGAGCATTTTAACCAGGAATTATCTTTGTCAGGTAAAATACCTTCTGGTCTTTTTAATGCAATGTTTGGCTTTAAGGGCTGCTGGCAGAAGGACACATCTACCACTAAACTTCTTGCTCTTGACGGTTGGTTCATTAGTTTGTACACAATTGAGCTGGCAAGATCTCAAATAACTCTAACTGATCAAGTGAAGAAAGAAGTACCTTCTTCATGGGATTCTGCTGCTCTGGCTGAGTAAGATAATAAGCTTGAAGTTTTCTTCCGTTATTTGTTGTTGAAAAAATATTGTATTGAATTAATTATCCTGGGGTTCATAATATAGCAGTTACAAATTTAAATGGAAAAGGAAATTTGTATCAATCCATATAAATGAGCCTCTATCCAACCCTACAAATCAAGGATTACTATCAACTGAAATAAACCAGCATAATTACAATCTTATGATGGTACAGCTTTACACGCTTTTCCTAAAATAGGAAAAGAAAATCTCCAGCATACCCTCCTCAAGCTCATAAATAGACGTTGTTCATTCCCAGCTTGCTTGTGATTGTCCAAAATGTAGAGTTAGCCAATCCTTGGTTAGGCCATCGGCTAGTTGACTATACGAGGAAACATAAGGAGTGCAAATAACTTTCTAACTTCTCCTTTATAAAATGTCTATAAACCTCTACATGCTTGTCTGATCGTGTTGTACAAGATTATGAGCGATGCTAATAGCCGATTTGGCATCATAATAAAGCCTCATCAGTTCTACCTATTTGTTTTGAGGTCTCCAAGAATTATCTTGAGCCGTAACCATATCTCTAAAATCTGCCTCTGCACTGGACCTTGCAGCTACATTCTGTTTCTTACTCACAAAGTCACCAAGTTCCCTCCAAGAAAAGTGCAATACCCTAATGTCTACCTGCTGTTTACAACTAATCCAGCATAATCAGCATCAGTATAAGCTTCCAAGCTCAACTCTGCACCCTTCTTAAACAGAACTCCCTTTCCTGATGTAGCTTTAAACTAGTGTAGAATTTGGTACACAACTTGAAGGTGAATTTCTTTGAAATTATGCATAAGCTGACTTAGACGCTAAATGCGTATGCAATATTAGATCTCTTATGTGATTGGTAGATCAATATCCCAACTAATTTTTGATACATACCTCACTCTATAACACGTGGAAAAAGTATTCTATTGAGCTAATTATTATGTACAGGCTAGGGTTTCAATGTATCAACCCCTATAAGAGAGCCTCTGTCCAACCCTACAAATCAGGGATTACTATCAACTGAAATAAATCAACATAATTATGCCCTTAGGATGTTGCAGCTGTACACGCTTTTCCTAAAATAAGAAAAGCAAATCTCCAACAGTTAAAAAGTTGTTTCTTACTATTAGAAGCTCTTCGAAAGAAGTCCGTTCTTGGTAGTTTGTTCTTACTTGCCACGTCTATACTCTATAGTTGCGGAAATTGTCTGTGCCCAATGTACACAAGATGCTCAAATTTTCTTGGTCATTATTTGCATATTGGTTTTGAGATTTGATGATGGTTAAGTAACAATGAATTTTTTTCTCCTTTTGCTTAATGCTGAGGTTAACCACAATCCTTATGCATCATCCAGTTACCCATGATACATCCGTTTGGGAAGAACAGAATTTTGAACTATATAATTTATAAATAAATAGAAATGAGTTGAGGATAAATGGATAGTACTTTTGGGTCTATTGGAATGAGTGATTAAAAATGAAGTTTGACCATAAATAAATGATTGATAAATTTTACCAAATGGAGGCATAGATGTTTGAACCATTGAAGTATGTCTAGGTAGTTTTACATACTTTAAACTGAATTTTCACTGAAAAATTGTTATGAATGGACTGAATCCATTCCTGAAGTTGGAGAATTTAGGACATATCTTTATTATTCTTTCATTCTTTGTTTCTTTAAGGCGCTTCAAGGGTTGGTGTCCAATGAAAATTTGGGAAACTGTAATTTGTACAAGTTTTAGTTGTAAATATTGATCGCGTATCAATATTTCCACTTTCAGGTTTATTGAAAAATATGGCACCCATGTCGTTGTTGGGGTTAAAATGGGAGGTAAGGATGTAATTCACATTAAGCAGCTTCAAAGTTCAAATCTTCAGCCAACAGAAGTGCAGAAATTGTTAAAACAATTAGCTGATGAAAATTTTGCTGAAGAAGTAAATGTAGGTCTGGTACCGAAAGCTGATAATTCATCAGGAAAGCCAAAGGTACTTGAAATATTATAATCAGTGCCATATTATTAACCACTTGTATCTAGTTTGAGTAGATTTTTATTCGATGACAGTATAAAAGCTCTTCACTCAAACAACCTTAAGTTACATCATATATTCACTAGTTACCACTCCATTGTAATAAGTACTCTCTGATCCTCGGATTCTTCGAAATGGACGAAGTACCCGTGTCGACACGAAATGACACGGGTATAGGATATTTATCGGATTCTCAAATTTCAATCGGACACTTCGTCGTTTCTGCTTCTTTCTTTTTCCTATTTCTTCTTCTTTCTTTTTTGCTTTTTCTTTTCTTTCCCTTTTCTTCTTTCCTATTTTGTTCTCAGTAAACCTAGTGCCGCCGCCGAGAGGGTGGAGGAAGGCGGTAGCACTAGGTTTTTCCTTCTTTTTCTTCTTTCTTTCCCTTTTCTTCTTTTTTCCCTTCTTTCCCTCTCTGTATCGATGGTTTTTTCTGTATCAATGGTTTAGGGTTTTCTTTGTTTAAAATGAAAATTGGTTCCATATAGTGTTACTTGGTGTTCCACTAAGTCCAAATTGCAATCAAGTTCCTCATTTTCTATTTTATATAACATTTAGTAATAAACTTCGTATAATTGAAAACTAAACTCCAAAATTCTATTTTATTCGTCTTAAACCTTTATTAAATACTCATTTTCTTTTTTGTGAACAATTGATTTTGGTCTATTTAAAATGATATATTGAATTAGTAAAAAAATTGAAATTTGAAAGACGTACTCATGTACACATGTCTGAAATTTAGACTCTTTTTAGTCATGTCCTCGTATCCTATATTTTAAAAAATAGAAGATCCAACATTAGATAAGTACCCATACCGGATACTCGTACTAGAGTCCGAACATCACTTGAAGTACATGTATTGATGTCGATTAAGTTTGCTTGTATAAGATCTTCATTTAATTTTTTTAGTGTATATAATATAGTTCCATGCTTTTCACACTTCATATTTATGACCATCGACTTCAACAAAGTTCTAATGATATACATGGAATAAATTAAGTTGAAAGAGAAATGCCTTGTTACATTTGGAAACTTGCATGTGTAATTATTTTTTGAGATAATGCTTTGGCTGAATGGAAAGTTTAAGGATGAGAAAGTGACAGCACATAGAGAAATTACGTATGGACTCGCCTTATATGGCCTCACTTAAAGATGTGAACATTTATGCCTCACAAGAACTAGCCATAAATTTATTTCGGGGAATCCTAACCTCCATCAGCCTTTATTGGTGGAGCCTGAAAATTCCCTATGATAGTGGTGATGCTTTGTTAGAAAAAAATAAATAAATAAAAATGATACTAGCTACTGGCTATAGCAAATATGCATATTTTGCTGAGAGTTAAGGCCTAAAACAAAATTTGCAGCCACATTATTGTTCTAAGAAGGGAAATTTAATTGTAAAAAATGGGCTAAAAAATCATCTGCATTACAGGTGTTTATGAAAGTAGCCTGACTTAAACGTTCAAGGTCGTGTGGTTAGTAGCACTTGCTATGACTAAAATTAAATGGATAATATTCTATGCTTGACTTGTTAGGCTGATCCATTCTCCTTCAAATTCATCTATTCACAGGAAAAACCAATGATCTGGGATCTTAATCTACCATTTACAAATGCAATTGGACCTTCTGTTGTTTCTCACTCCAAAAATGATGTAAGCCTCTTATTAATTTTCTTATTAACTTATCGAGCTTCACATTCTCAATACAAGTTAATGTATATTTATTGATGCAGGATATATTAAGTATTCATATTCGTAGGGGAGGTTTAGATAGGGGCCAAACTCATAATCAGTGGCTTTCAACTGTATCACAATCTCCGAATGTCATATCAATATCTTTTGTGCCTATAGCATCTCTTTTAAGTGGTGTTCGTGGCAGTGGATTTTTAAGCCATGCAATTAATCTATACCTGCGATGTGAGTATGCTATTGAATTAAATATGACTTGGCATTTAGTTTCATTACCATTATTATTCTTGTCTTCTAGAAATTTCTCATCTTTCCGCATCACTTTCCACGTCTGAGGCTTTAAGTGAAATGCTTGCTTCTATATGCAGATCATGGAATTAAAACTGCCCTCATTATTGTTCTTGCTGGATAAAGTCACTAAAAGTTATGAACACTGTTTCTGATAGCATTTATTGGTGACATTTATTTGTGCAGACAAACCACCAATAGAGGAACTCAATCAATTTTTGGAATTTCAGTTGCCCCGTCAATGGGCTCCTGCATACAACGACCTTCCTCTTTATACTCGTCGCAAGAAAAAAGCGTCGCCATCACTAAAATTTTCTCTTATGGGTCCCAAGCTTTATGTCAATACTGTGAAGGTGATTTCTTATAGCTAGCTACTAAAATTGCTATTGTATCTGTAATACTTATAGATCTCAAGTTCTTGTCATAATCGAAAAATAAAAAAATTTACACCAGAAGGACCCAAATTGAAAGCCTGCCCAGCCTACTCGAACTTTTTCTTCATTGTACAATTTTTTTTGGAAGACATAAAAATAAAAGATTAATATAGTACCTTGTTGATTGGTACTTTGATATGTTATGCCTGTCCTCAAAATTTTCATTGGCGTTTGTTTGAAGAATTTTAAATATCTTTACATAATTGATATTCTATTGAATCTTTTTAGTTGGACGGGACCATTTTAAGAGGAATATTTTTTCTTTCTACTATAATCTAATTGAAAAAATTGCAGGTTGATACCCTGAACCGGCCAGTGACTGGAATTCGGTTATACTTGGAAGGCAAGAGGAGCGATCACCTGGCTATCCATCTGCAGCATCTGTCAACTCTTCCTGAGTCCCTTCAGCTTATGGATGACCATAGTTACAAGCCAGTTGATGAACCCATGGAAAGAGGATATTTTGAACCTGTCAACTGGAGCATATTCTCGCACGTATGCACTGCTCCAGTAGAGTATCACGGAGCGCGGATTGATGACTCAGCATCTATTGTGACGAAGGCCTGGTTTGAGGTCAATGTTATAGGTATGAAGAAGGTCCTTTTCCTAAGGCTTGAATTCTCAATGTTAGCATCTGCCATAATCCGTAGGTCGGAATGGGATGGACCCACGTCCTCATCAAAAAAATCCGGATTGATTTCAATGCTAATCAGTTCACCATTCAGCAGTGTACTGAATCAACCAGAGAGGCCGCCAGCTAAGGCAGACTTGAATTCAGCAGTTTACCCAGGGGGACCACCTTCCCCTGCAAGAGCTCCAAAAATGTCACATTTTGTTGACACAAAAGAAATGGTGAGAGGACCCGAAGATCCACCTGGGTACTGGGTGGTTACCGGTGCGAAACTTTGTGTAGAGAGTGGGATGATACGAGTTAAAGTGAAATATTCTTTGTTGACTATAATATCAGATGAATCCTTGTTGATCTGAGTGAAGTTATAGAAGACAGATGTTGCAAATCGTGTCTTTTATGCTGTATTGTACATTTATCATTCTATACCAGATTCAACCATCCATTAATTGTAATGGTTCTTCTGGGGAAAAAGAAACCGATGGCATTCTCAGCTCAATATCAGCTGAATTTGGGGTTGTGTGAAGTTTGGTTGGGTTGTGAAGTTACTTATATGACTACTGAATTTGAGAAAAGAAGAATTGCCGGCTGCATATGTTATTCTCAGATCAGACGTTCTTCTACGTAATCTTTGCAGGCGCTTGCATTTTTGTAGGGAACCGGGTGATGAATAATTTCTCAGAAGGCAGTTTAAATGCACCACTCCATTCTTCTGTATTACTCGTTACTACATAGAGGTAAAACTGAGTACCCTCGTGCATTCACCAAGTGTATAAATTATACGCTTTCTATTTGATATCTGATCGTTTTTCAGCTTTATTCGCTTTGCAAGTTGATTGAGTTGGTGGTTTGTTTGTTCATGCAAAACTTGGCTATGTTTCTTTGTAGTGGTAAGAGTCCTCTGTCTTTTATTTTCCAAACCACATTGCATCATCCCCTCCACCTTGTATTTTTTCTTCTCGTATTCACCCACCCGGTGTTCGCCTCAATCTTTACGCTTGGAAATGGGCTTTTATAATAAGATTTCGTGGTCCCTCCCTCGTTAATTTATATAGGTTATATTATTTATGACTTTTAAGAGAATAATAAGATGATTAGAACATAAAAAGCTCCTTTGGTATCAAGTTAATAGCGGCTCATTTTATTATATTAGTAGTAAGTGTGCGTTCTTATGTAACGGATAAATGATATGTGTAATGTTTTTGAAGTATTAATGCTATTTTTGAAAGTAGTTGAGATAATTGGTATTGTTAAATGAAAAATTAAAATTGTTAAAAAGAATATATATGAATAATTTTTTTATGAAATTATGTATATAATATGAAAATGTTGAATAAACTGAAATGTAATGTTTTGATTATAATAACACTTTCTCTTATACGATATTTTTTGTCAACGTTTCATAGTTTTTCTTCTTTTTATTTTTTACTTTTATCAAACTTTTATTAAATGGATTGAAACTACAAGAGAAATTGGTACATATAATTTACGCATGTGAGAATATATGTTCAGTATTTCAATAGTAGGCTCTATTTGTCCTTGAGCATTGCTAATAGTACTAGTGTGGATTGTGCATTGCACGATAACCGTTATAATTTTTGTAATTCCATAATTGAACAAAAATAACATTAAATTGTTTCAAGTAATGAATATTCAAGCACCCTTTAAATTACATCATTTATTTAATATTTAATATTCAAATATATATTAATACTACATTGTTTTCAACCAATTTTACCATAACAAATATAAAAAAACAAAAAGTAATAAAATGAAATNCGGTTATCATATGAGTCTTTGATAATTTATGTCACTTTTTGTTAAAAATAGTGACATAATATGTCACTTTTTTTTAGGAACTAGTGTGGATCGTGCGTCGCACGATAACCGTTATAATTTTTGTAATTCCATAATTGAACAATGGCAAAAATAACATTAAATTGTTTCAAGTAATGAATATCCAAGAACCCTTTAAATTACACCATTTAAATATCCACTTCATTTACAAAAAATGATCTCTTTTTATTGACGAATTTCATCATTTCAGACAGAATAGAAACAAGAACAAGCCTTTGAACCTAAAAAGGAATTTAACCTTCTACTGAAGCTCATCTTTAAAGTGCCCTAAACAAATAAATGATAATTGATAAAAATATGACTATAATAAACAACAATTTCTCTTATCCTTCCCTCTTTTTTTCTATTCTAAATACTAAATTTGTTACGTTAAAAAGCTAACAATAATAAGGCTACAGAATTAGAAAGAATAGATCTATATGAAAAAGTATCCCCTTTCTGATTCAGGGCAACAAAAATGTTTTATTTTGCTTGCTTAAGGAAAAAACAAATCGAAAATCAAGAAGATCGATAAGAGCTAAAGATTAATCATGAATTCAAAAACCCAACAAGCATTATTGCTTAAAAACCCAGAATTACTAACTATTCCAACAACGTAACATAAAAATGAATGAAACTTGGAACCCAACAGATAAAAATCGAAACAACTATTAATTGTAAATCAACGGTAGAATTCAACAAGTCCAGCTCTGAACTATAATTTTCTATTCAACAGAAACAGATAAAGATCGAAGGAACCGAAAAGAGGGTTGCTTCGACATGGAGAATGAATGACATGTGCAATAATAACTCGGAAAGGTAGAGAATAAAGAGAGAATTCANTGGTCCCTCCCTCGTTAATTTATATAGGTTATATTATTTATGACTTTTAAGAGAATAATAAGATGATTAGAACATAAAAAGCTCCTTTGGTATCAAGTTAATAGCGGCTCATTTTATTATATTAGTAGTAAGTGTGTGCGTTCTTATGTAACAGATAAATGATACGTGTAATGTTTTTGAAGTATTAATGCTATTTTTGAAAGTAGTTGAGATAATTGATATTGTTAAATGAAAAATTAAAATTGTTAAAAAGAATATATATGAATAATTTTTTTTATGAAATTATGTATATAATATGAAAATGTTGAATAAACTGAAATGTAATGTTTTGATTATAATTACACTTTTTTTTATACGATATTTTTTGTCAACGTTTCATAGTTTTTCTTCTTTTTATTTTTTACTTTTATCAAACTTTTATTAAATGGATTGAAACTACAAGAGAAATTGCTACATATAGTTTACGCATGTGAGAATATAGGTTCAATATTTCAATAGTAGGCTCTATTTGTCCTTGAGCATTGCTAATAGTACTAGTGTGGATTGTGCATTGCACGATAACCTTTATAATTTTTGTAATTCCA